TTACATATTTAAAATATAAAAACAAAATTTCTTATTTCCTATCTACAACACTAAATCAATCGCCCGCACTTAATACCATTTTTATCGAATATTCTCATTTTCATTTCTCTTTGACGGGTTACAACTTTGATTTCACAACAATGTCCGATGTCATCTCAATATTGACGTCTGACGTCGTTACAACATCAACATTTCAAAACGATCTCCACATCAAAGTTTGACGTTGTCTTTACATTGAAGCTCAATGCTAGCAATTTATACACACACAACTTGACATCTCATGTTTGTCCAACGTCTTCTCAACATCGACGACCAACGCGCTCTCAACATCAATGAGAAACGTCATCTTAACATTTGAAACTCAACATTTACTACATAACATTAATGCATGACTCTCGACAGCATTGCCTTCTCCTCTCTCGATGATTGATAAATGGAATCGACTCTCGACTCTCGACATCCTAATATTAATCATTTTAAACACGAATTCTAGGTAAATAACTTATTATTTCTAAATTATTTTTAAAATTATACTTATTCAATTTTATACACAATTTTAAAATACAAAAACTATAATATTGTGTCCAACCCATGTCCGTGTCCTATATTTTCAACAATTAACGTGTCCAGTGATCATGTCATGTCGTATCCGTGTCGCCGTGTCCGTGTCTGTGCATCATAGTAATTAATATATTAATATGTCAATCTATACAAGTCCATTTGAAGTTGTTATGGGTTAAAACAACAATATCAAGCCATTATCCCACTACATGGGGTCGGTTACAAGAATCATTTTTATCCATTAAGTTCTGTTAACGGTCAAATTATCATTTAAATCTAATAAATAAAGATAATTCCTAATATTTTCTAACTAATACTTTTTAAGTATACCTCTACCTTACTTAACATAAGATAAATTTAATAAATCTACTCTCCTAACTGGGTCATCGGAAAGCCTCCATGAACAAACCTTCTAAGGCGGCTCTCTCTAATCTTATCTTCCACTAGAGCTACTCTCTTTAATCTTATCTTCGATGAGTTATTAGACTAAAAAATCAATAGACCTTCATTAACTTTTCTTTTGAATTTTCACAATAATTTGCAAAGCATAAGCATAATTGGAATGAAAATATTCACAAGAAACAAATAATTAATTATGAAAATTATAAGTATATTATTAATGCACAGGAAATATGTGGAATTAAAACTAGTAAATAAGGTAATGGTACATGTAAAGCTAGAGAGATTTCCTATTGGAGTTTTTAAGAAATTATCTACAGGAAATCTATGATGCAACGACACGGACACGGCGACACGGACACGACACGGACACGAGACACGACAATTTTTAAAAATATAGGACACGGGTGTGGCGTGGACATGGCATAATAATTTTTTAATATAATATATAAAAATTAAGATGACATTATAGTAAAAATGTCAAGCAATAATAAATCAATTTCATGATAAGTTGATAACTTGTTTAACTTATAACATAAAGATGTTTAGTACAAAATGTCTAGTACAAACGCAAAAATATAAGCAAAAAACCATTTAATACAACATGAAGGTCTAACTACTCAATAAAGGGAATGATAAAATTAGATTCAGATGTTGGTTTTTGGCCTTCAATATCATCATCATTGAATATCATTGCTTCCAACTCTGATTCATCTAGAGAAAGATTTGCAACCTCCAATAATCCCATATCATCAAGGCACTCGAACCCATCTCCAGCAACATCCCACATCTTGTTATCACCTGTCATATAAAGTGGGGTTTTCCTTGATAGAAGACGAAGATTTGTATGCACATAAACTAAATCTTCAGCACGTTGTGGAGTTATTTTATTCCTCTTCATTGATTGAATAAATGAGTATGTGCTCCAATTTCTCTCACAACAGGAAGAGGATGATACTTGACCAAGAAGTTTTATTGCTATTGTTTGAAGAAGCGGTGCTGAAGCTCCATGAATCAACCACCACATTTTTGGATCCATCCTCCATCTATCAACCAAAGATTCTTGATCACCAAAATCCTTTAAATATCCAAAGAACTTTGCAAGTTATATATTAATTTTTTATCCAAAAAAATCACAACATGAATAAAACAATATACCGGTCTGCTGGGGGTCCAAGGGGGCGCTGCCCCCTGGCGGGGTTCAACTTACGGTTAGGTCGCGGGGTTAAGGGGCAGCACCCCTGCAAGGGTTTCCGGGGGCAGCGCCCCCGAAACAAAATTTTATTGTAAGAGTAATTTTGAAGTTCTGCTTGTTTTTAAAGTTCGTAAGTTGTTTGTATGTGAAGATACCGAGTGGTACCAAGCATGTACCTAGCAGTACCGAGCATATACCTAGCAGTACCGAGCATGTACCTACCAGTACCGAGCATGTACCTACCAGTACCGAGCAATACCGAGCATGTACCTACCAGTACCAAGCAGTACCGAGCATGTACCTACCAGTATCGAGCATGTACTGAGCAGTACCGAGCATTTACTGAGCGGTACCGAGCATGTACCTAGCGATACCGAGCGGTACCGAGCGGTACCGAGCATGTACATCAGGTTTTTCAACAATGAAGAGAAGAAATAGCGAAATCCACTTACAGTTCTTGGCTCTCTTGCGCGCAGAAGGTGCTCTGTTTGGCCTTGATTGCAAACTTTGCCTCGAATGACAGCAGAAATAACGCAAGAACGAAGGAATGAAAAAGACAAGCTCTGCTTGGCCGAGCAGAAATGACGAAGGAACGGGAGGCGAAGGCAGCGGGCTCCGTTTGGCGTCGACTGTGAGCTCTCCTGGTCCGCCCTAGAAGATTTCTTTCGTGGATCGGAAAAATAGGGCTTCTCGTTCGCGAAAAGGCTAAATAGAACGGACGATTTTATCATTTAATAATCGGACACGCGACACGCATGTCGGACACGCGACACGCGTGTCCGATTTAAATTTTAATGTTTTAAATTCCGACACTCCAATGCCGTGTCGGACACGTGTCCATGCCGTGTCCGACACGTGTCCGTGTCCGACACTGCATACCCTCTTTAAGAGGCGTGTCGGTGCATCATAGCAGGAAATGCAAGGCCTTAAAATGTTTTGCAATGAATTGAGTCTGACATTTACAAATTAAAAATTTCAAGAAGTATTGATATTAGACATATCTTCAATTTATTTGATTTGATTATATTTCATGAACCTATAGCTAATAGCTTATATTCTTTTCTCTTAGTTTTCCCTCGTGAATTCACATATCCAATCTATTACAAATGATGAAATTGTGCCCACAAATAATGGTGGAAATCAAAGGTACCTTATTCCTTAGTGTGATAGATTTGTATGCAATGATTCATAAACTACTTTGTAAGAAGTCCAACAAAGTCGATTTTTTCAAATCAGGCAGATTTGATTGAAATATGAAAGTTTAATAGAATCAAAATTATAAAAATGATGACTCATATGAATTAATCATTTGTTATGTTATTCTACATAAAGAATGCCTATTATATCAATTCACATACAAACAATATATGACATTCAGTATTTTAAAGAAATTGTCAAGTATAACTCACTATGAAATAATTCAAACAGCCCAAAAAAGTCTAGTTAACAGCTAAAGAGTTCAGAATCACCAGCACAATGTGAAGTGCTATAATTCATTATTATTTTCTCACAATGTTATAAGCACAATTTAGTCGATCCTCCAGCACTATTGTTTCCCCATATAGTCTTTGCCCACTTAGCCACCTCTATATTTTGTCGCTAATTCTCTTAACCACATGAACCAAGCATTTCCTTCACATGTCCTTATCAGTACTCTAGTGTGTTTCTAATGACTACTTGGTTAGGTTGCCATGCCGCCCTGCACTCCTTGTTAAATCAGCTACAATCTCACATTACCTTTTGCCTAGGACCTCTGTTGCTCACTACTTCAGAAAAAAATTCCTAACAGATTAATAATACAAATCTGGAAGGGGTGAAAAAGTTTTAAATTCATGTTGACGATTGTTTTGAGTTACTATTTAAAAAATTTTCTCCTTTAAAGCATATGAGAAAGACCTTGAGGCATCTAAAGATCATTAAGAGGTGAATTTTGAATGTGCAAGTGCTAGTTAAATTTGTATTCTTCAAGTGCTTCACATGTGTGGATGACAACGTCCTAGGGGGGGATGTGAGGAGAGGGGAGACTCCATATCATAGTTGTTTCCTTTGGGGTGATTTGTATCTTCATTATTGTGGAAGTTTGAAACTCAAGGGGAATTAATGAAAATGTTTGAATTCATGTTAGACGTATTGAGACCTGTTCTTTTGAGTAGAAATTTAAAACTTTTGCAATGTTTTCTTTTTTTTAATTTTCTTATTTTTTTATTAGCCATTGGTTTTGCATTTTGATTGAAACTGTATCAAGTGATATAATTTTGAGAGTGAATTTAGTCATTTGAGTTTTATTATTCTTCATAGTTTTTATATAGACTTTCAGATTTTAAGTTGTTAAATTATCTCATCGAATAAACAAAGTTTTTTTTTTTTTTTGTACTTACAATAGAAGCAATAATTTTTGCCAAAATTACCTATTAATAGCCTACGAATTGTGATGTTAAGTTGTTTTGATTATCATCCTAAGTTGCATTCAAAATCCTAAACTCACCTACTTTTTGGTGTAAAGTGTTGTGTCAATGGATAATAACTATTCATTTATAACCTTCAGCTTCAGATGAAGCATCAAAGAATCTCACCACCATCTTAGAACTTAATTTTAAGCTTGTTCAATCCCCACCCCACCAAAAAAACTTGACTTATTTTAGGTAGCAACATTGTTAATAAGAATAATAAAAGTAGAACATAAGCTCAAATCTACTCTTTGCAGAAAAGTGTTGTCATTTACTATTGTTATCCCAAAATCCAGTGATAAAACTAACATGAAATTGAAACAAATGTAGTTCACTAAGTATTTGGAAAAGTATGAAATATTATGCAAAAAAAGGCAAAGAAAGCATGGGAAGCTTACATTGTAGCTTTCTCCATCCTTCTCAGCTTGCAAGAACTCTCTAACTGGAATGTAGGCTGCATGTTTGCAAAGCTCAAAAATATCTGAGCCCGTAAAACCTTCACATAGGCGAGCTATGTTATCATAGTCAATATCTTCATCTATCTTTTCCCCCTTTAAAATCACCTGCAATATCTTAGATCTCTCACTTTGATCTGGTCTTCCAATTTCAAAGGTCTGGGGGAATCGCCTAAGTATTGCTTCATCCAGTTCACTTGGCCTGTTTGTAGCAGCTAGAACCATGACACGTGCATTCTCTGTGACCTCAAAATTTTATCATTTTTATGGTATCTAAGTTAAAATTTCCAATAAGGAAAGGTATCATAAAAAGATAATAAAGAATAAAACATGGTGCACAACGTCTTACGATGATCAAACTATTTGTATCATCCACGTGTATCCACTAACATGCTCGCAAAGATGAGCCGTGTAGCTTTTCAATCATTTAGCATGTTATCAAATAACAATTGTGCCAACTAAATACAAATGGCAAAAACACAGAACGCAGTTGACCTTGTATTTATGCTTTGAAATTTTCTGATATGTACGTTTTTTAACCTTACCAACATACATGCACAAAAAAAAGTTTCAAATTACAAGTAGAAATGGCAAATCATGCAAACCTAGCTTTTGAATTTGTTCTAACAAGTAATGGACTCCAAAAGATACAAACTTGTCACCAAAAATTCTAGCTAAGGCAGTATACTGGCTGTTCCCGGACTGAGGTCAAGTTTGATTATGGCTGGAGTACGGTGCTTTATGTTTCTCCATGTGTGAAGTTCAAGAGTTTATAACTGATTTGCGGCCAATCAATTATCAATAAAGTTATCTGGAATAGATTTCAATCCTCAAAAAAAAGTTTTTTGTAAGATAAAATTTCCTCTGATTTGAAATTGATGCCAATACTTGTAAAAGATGAAACGATATCAATATTTGAGACATGATTCTAACGCAAAAGATTGGAACAAATGACCCAATACCAATCAACATAGATGTCTTTATGAAGCCAAGGATAAGCAAAATTAGACTTTGGCACCTTGTCATGTTACGAACTCCTATGCAAAGATTACGAAATTGAGACTGATGCAACAAGCTAAGAGACAAACCAATGCAAAAATGGAGCTATGACAATTGTGTAGTCTATAACAATATTGAAATGAAAGAACCAAATGGTGGAAGTGATGCCCAATAATTTCCAGATGTTCGAAGTCCCAACATTAGAAATTTGGAAACTGGATTGAAATGCCTTCACAATAAATTATGACGTCATGAAGTAAAAACTACCCAGATAATTACGTTTCAAAAGGTTCACCAAATTAGCTTTCACTTCTCTAACGTCAAGCTATAGTTGGCATTGTTTTAGTTGAAGTGTAAAAAATTATTGTGACATTGATATAGGTGACAAAATGACTGAAATAAATATTATTATAATATGATAAACTAATCATAAATAACATATAATTAATCAAAATAGTAAATCTAGTTACTTATTAAATTAAATAGATAATTTCATGTAAATACTTTCTGAGAAGCCCTTTAAACTACCATTTAAGGAAAGCTGTTTTTCAATTGTCATGCATCTGAATTTTTTCTTATAGCAATAAAACCAAACGTCTTAGTGCTACTTTTTCTGTCAAAGAAGCACAAATCATTGTTGCCAAACGGACCATTAGATAGTACGTCTAGGTAGAATCCTGCAGTGCGTTCCAATAATTGATTCTAAAGTCCTGTAATTAGACTTTTTGTCTAGGTTTGTGGCGTAAAACTCCTAAATGTGATCTCTGCTTCACATAATGCTACACGGCCTATATGCATTCATATCCCCTGTTTCTCAATAACTTATGCTAGAGTAACTGGCCCTAAAATTTATCTATGTAATCTTCTGATTCAGATCTTTTATAACAAGGCTGCTGGTGCAATCTGTTCTTATACTTATTAAGTTATATCTATTGTCAACTTAGTGATTTTAGGTTTATTATATGGATTTTTTGAGGCATTATAGGGACGATTGATTAACTAAATTTTTACCCGTCACCTAAACTTCCGTAATTGTTGACTATTATTCCTTCAATTACAGTGCAAGAATTGGTTGATAACTTTCAGTGGTAGAAGCCTTGTGAGAGTTCGTTAGTTAATTTTTTTTCTGGTTTCCTTTTTTTGTCCGTATATTTTGGGATTAAGCTGATAGGAAGTGTTTGTAGAAATTTAGGAAAAGCATTAGCTGAAATCTGATTTCAACAATTTCAGAAAACCAACGACAAAAAAATCAAGAATAGAATACACAAAAATATTTTTTATTAACATTTTTATGAAAGAAAGACAAGATACAAGTGGATCTTCAATTAGAGAGGAAGATCCAGCTCTCCCAAATCTCTAGCCGCTGGCTAGAGCTCAAACACACTAAGAACAATTTAAATTCAGCAAACAACACATACCCCTAACCTTAAGAAAATCACCTAGTTAAAGCAAACAATAAACAAAAAATACCCAAATTCCCTCCCAAATTTGACATATTTCCTTAATTATTTCCTCTCAAATAAATCCTTAAATATGAACCCAAATATGTCTTCTTTAATTATGAAATATTTTCTAATTAATCCACTCCAAATCAGACCCTAAAATATGTCCTATTCAATTAGGAAATATTTCTGAATTAATCCCCTCTAAATTAGTCCTCCTCTCCTCTGTCTCCCGCTCCCGTCGTATCAATAACACCCCCCCACCAAAAAAAAAAAAAAAAAACTTCACCATATCGTTAAGGTGGAATGATAGAAAATGACTGAAGAATACCTTGTCTCTAATGGGGGGCCACCTGGCCAGCCCCGAGTCTCAGACCTCCTCTAGGCTCTGCAGCTCCACCAAGTAGCCCAGCCCTGCTCCTTGTATCGCCTTGGCAATGGTCTTGAGTGAAACCATAGTTTTGGACAGGCTAGGATCCCCTCTAATAACACTTTCCTCCCTTCAACCTCAAACTCCATCGTTAGCGTTTGTCAATCAATCTTGGTAGCTCCAAATATCTACATTCATTTCATTCCCAAGATGACATCAATGCTCCCTAGCTCCAATGGGATAAAGTGATCCCTCACCCAGACTCCCTGTATGGTCAGAACCACCCACCTACACACTCCTCGACCTATCTCCATCTTCTCAGTGCCCATCATCGCCCCATATTACCCTGCACCTACCAGTATCACCCTCAATTGGTCTACGACCTGGTTGGAAATGAAATTATGGGTAGCCCCACTGTCTATCAACACCTGTTATTTCTCCTCTTACTTTAATGATGCAATTCGAAGAGAATCTCATAACTCAGTTCAAGGAGATCTTTGCCCTATCTAAATGCATCTTTTCCCCCTCCACCCATCCCTCATTCTCACCTCCCTCCTAAGCTTCCTCTTCATCACTTACGGTGAGAACCTAAAGAATTTGATCCTTACACTTGAGCTCGTGTGTGTACCTTTCATCACATTTGAAACATAACCCTTTGCACGCCTATCCTACGCCTCTATTTCTATAAGATGAATGAAGTTGTCTCTAGGGCGAACTCTAGTGTCCTTCTCCTTTGGTGCTTCCCTTTGAAACAACACCGTCTGGGTTCTCGGTGCTAGGATGGTAGAGGTACTCCTGTAAGCCCCTCCCATGATGTTGCTCTTACTGATCTTCTCCCTATGATATTTTTCCTCCACCCTTTCAGCAAGCTTCATTGACTCTCTCAACCCTGAGCTCTGCTTGTATGTCCTCCCTAAGCCCCTTCATAAAATTCCCTTCCAACTCTTCCTCAAAAATTCCTCTAAGTCTCCCCGACAGCAACTCAAACTTCTTCCGATACTGCATAAATGTCCCCTCTTGAGTTAGGGCATAGAATTGTTCATGGAGGTCTCCTTCCTGAATGGTTCAAAAATTCTCCAACAAGCACTCCTTAAATTCCCCCCATGAATAGATCAGATATCGAGCCTCCCTCCACTAAAACCAAGCTAGGGCTTTTCCCTCCAAACATAGCCCTACCGCCATTGAGTTTTTCCCCTTTCGTTAGGCTGTTGATCTCAAAATAATGCTCCACCTAATACACCTAACCCTGAGCATCTTCCCCTTCAAACACTGACATCTTCAACTTTCTCGATCTCGCATCCATACCCTAATTGCTCTCCCTCCATTAGTTCCTCCTATGTAATGATGGTGTGAATCTCTCTCTTCCTCCCGTGGCTGATTTGGACCCCATGACTCCCCCCAACCATTACCTCCTCCATTCCACCTCACCCCATGCCTAGTTAGTCTCCCCAAAGGATTCGGCCTCCCCCCTCCTTACTGTCTTTCTTTCGAAATACCCTGATTCGCCCACCAACAAAGCCTCCTGTGGAGGTCCTTAATGGAAAACACTCTCCACTAATCCACTTCATCATTGTCCTCCGAAATCTCCTTCCCTTTTGGTTCAGCCTCAGAACCACCGGTGAGGCTTTTGATTGCATTTCAATCAACTTCTTCATCATGTCTTCCATATTTTTGAATTGGCTATCTATTGACGAGAGCCTCCCTTTCATGCCAGAATATCTTTTCTCCACCCCAGCTTTGACATTTTCCATCTCGCCTTCCAACAGCTCTATTTTCTTTGTTGCCATTCACGATTTAGGTTCCAAACAGTGAAAAACAACAAAAATTGATGAATCCAATCTTCAAAAAGAGAAAATCAGCAAGGTGGGAAGAAAAATGCAGCAGAAATAAGCAATGGCCACTTAAATTTCAGCCCAATACATCGCTCTAATACCAATTTGATAGGAGGTGCTCGCAGAAATTTAGCAAATACCTTAGCTGAAATATGATTTTTGCAATTTTAGAAAACCAACGACAAGAAAACCAGGAATAGAACACACAAAAAACACTTTTTTATTGACATTTTTAAGAAAGAAAGACAAGATACAAGTGGATCTTCAATTGAAGAAGAAGATCTAGCTCTCCCAAATCTCTGGCCATCAAGTAGAGCCCAAATACCCTAAGAATAATCTAAATTCAGCAAACAACATATACCCCTAAACCTAGGAAATTCACCTACTTAAAGCAAACAATAAATAGAAAATACCCAAACAGCCCTCCCCCAATTCCCTCCCAAATATGTCATATTTCCTTAATTATTTCCCTCCCAAATCAGCCATTAAATCTGCCCCCAAATATGCCTTCTTCAATTATGAAATGTTTCCTAATTAATCCCCTCCAAATTAGCCACCCCAAATCTACGAACAATTATTAGGTTCGGTGACCGGACGTAGCTCTACGTGCGG